ATGGGACTTGTAATATAAATAGTGAAAAGTGGGTGTTACATTGTACAGTGGCATAATATACACCTCTGCCTATCCCTTCGGGGATAAAAGGCGTGATGTTATGTTATGTCTTTAACAAAAAAGTTACTGGACGGAATTAGATGAAGGTTTTTTATAATGAGGTAGATGTAAAGTCTGAACAACAAAAATTAATGTTTCATAATATGAATTATAATGATAAAAGTTATAGAGTAAAAGTATATTATTAAGTATTAAAATAATCATAAAATGTAAGAGAGTTCCAAATTAAGTAAATCCTTTCATGTTTTTGTTTTATAATTAGGTACCTGAACGATTGTTTTTAAAATAAGGGGCAGTCAGTACTCATAAACTCAAGATTTTTATCTCCTTCCATTTTATGGGTGTTAACCTGAATACGAGATACTTACCTATTTCATCGTATTACAATTCTACGTTATGTTTTAATATACCGGCGCGATTAGTAATAAAATGTCGATAATAATCATATCTGACATCATTCTGACCACTAAAGGCCCATGACGAAGGTTTTACAATTCAATTAGTTGCACCAGGTGTCGACAGACTGGAAACTTTTACCCTTACCGCAAAGGAACAAGGTAACATTTAAAATGCTTTAATTGAGTTTGGTAATTATATTCATAGTGGTTGCTTGGATGCCCTGACAATTCCTATAAAATCTGTACAGTTAGTTAAACCTAGTTTGTTTAAATAAATAAATATTAATATTAGGTACGTTACAGTACATTAGGTACCTTCTAACATTAATTTAACTAACATTTAATTTAATTTAAAATTAATATTATACATGTGAAAGTTGTGAGGACGTATTTGAGTGTGTGTGTGTGTGTGTGTGTGTGTGTGTGTGTGTACATACACAAACACATGTTAGTTACTGGTTACGGTGGTAGGGTACAATTTGTAAGTATTTTGTGCATAATATAACACAAAATGTTTACGGGAAAATAAATTCATTTTGCAATAAATATAGTAGGTACTGAATCGATTCTGATGACATTTGTTAGTCGTACAGCAATAGAATATTATACCATTGGACGGACTAATCAAAAAACTCAATTTCTACCAGAATTTTACGCGGTTAAAGTCGCGGGTAACTGCTAGTATAATAATATAATTTTCAATAAACTATGTTATAAAACCTCCTAAAACCTCGAAGTCAGTTGATTTGATAATAAAGTTCCGCTCCTAAGAGTAGCTAAACCGCATCAAAATCGGTTCAGCCAATCGCGAAACAATCGTGGACAGACATTCATACATACATATACAAGGCGTTCTCGAAGTCGACGATCAAGTAGCACCAGTTGATTGGCAAGATTCCAACAGTTATCAGAAAAATATAAAGGAAGTCGTATCATAAGTGATATAGTTTTTAAATTACAATGACTTATGTGTAGTCCACGAAAAAGTACACCTGTGACAATCTTTTGACACTTGTTGCTACGATTATTTATTTTTCGTCTATAATTTTATTATGTTATCCTGAATAATGCTCTAGAATTATGGAATCATAAATTCTGGGCCAACCGCTTTAGTTTGGAAAAGAATGTCATTTTTTGACGAATCAAGTATACTCAATAATTTTTTTGAAATGTAATGTAAAATAAATATATTATAATAGTAGTGACAAATTTCAGCAAAGCGGCGCATTTAATGAGGATTCTAATATGGTATGCCACTCCCTACCCTACATTATTACGTACGAATCGGCGTTCGGAATTTTGTGCGTGGCGGATTTCGCTTTCGCGACCCGCCGTGTCTCAGGACTCAGCCATAGGGAACAGCGAGTAGAGTTCCCTAAGATTGGAAAAGGTGCATCCTCCGACCAGGCGAGGTGATCGTGCTTGGCGGGCTTTCAGCCCAACATTTGTTCGTTGTGATTTTCTATCCATATTTATTCGCATGTAAACTTACATGTACGATGAAGGATTGTATCGTCACGTTGATTTGCTTGTCGATGGTCTATACGCGTCATGTAAGTTCAGTCATTTGTCATGTGTCGCTAAACTACATTAAATTCTTGAGGGTCAAAACTTTTGTTAATGATTGTCAGACGACCAACAGGTGCCGCGTGCTTGGCATCCCATAAATAACCCCTAATACTTCATAATTATTTACTTGTTTTACATAAAAAATTGTTAGATATTTATACAATAATATCCACTAACGACGTTTTATCCTTTTAATTACGTCATTTGCTTTCGTCATTACTATAATAAGGATACTGCTGATATTGAAATTCATTTTCACATCATCTCACACTTATGGCAACACGAGCAAGCCTGCACACAGAACCGTAACTACATTTATACAATTGTCAGCAGGCGAATACGACTTTAACGAAAACTGATATTTATTCATTCCTTCAGAAAGTATTCAGATAAAAACACCTATGTGATGATTAAAAATGTCAATTTTAATGAACTTCCTGTTTAATATAAAAATATATTTACTGCTCAAAACAATTGTATTTCCCTGGACTCACACTAGGAATTCCTGTGTTGTGAAGGAATTTAAGCTTTTAATTTTCATAGAAATAAAGAGTAATAATGTGCAGTAACAATGAATAGAATGAAAATGAGAAAAAAATTAATACGCGCGATGTGATTGCGTGTACGTATATGACCGTTATAGTACAGAATAATGATGATCTATTTTCCTCAAAAAAATATTCTTCTCACCTCAGTAATCATATTTTTAATTCAGTTTCATTTTCCTGCACTTAGTACATTGCTAGTCTTTTTTTATCCCAAGGTAGAGTAGTGGTGAAACCCTTTCACCTAAGAGGGGACAAATAAGACTGACTGACTAAAAACCACCCGATGTCCCGTCTCACAAATGGATACGCGGATGGAAGCAACTTGTCCCCACTGTAAAGAGTACAGAGGAGAGTACCTGTCGGTCTCTTCTGTGCTACGCCTAGGGTTCGGTATAACGGAGTAACAGGAACTTTCCCAAATACGCAGCCGACCTTAGACCCATATAAAAAATGTATACGCGCAGATGCGACTTGTCCACGAGCGGTTCCAGCTAGAATTCACCAGCTGTGGATGAAACATAAGATCTCTTTTTCTTATTCTTTTCATGATCGGTATCAAGTTTCAAGACTGAATGTCAGCACTTTGCATATTTCATATCTCCACCACTACATAAACACTGAAATAACATAAACTACTATAGATAGTAACCATTATGAAAAAACAATTAAGTAGGTAACTACAATGATAATTTATTTAGGTTCAACCAAATTAATAATCCGAACATAGAACTTTATTCACTGTTTTTCGACATTTTCATGTCGAAAATTTATTAAATATATTATATTTATTAAATAATAATATATAATATTTCTATTTAGAACATTAATTAAAATCAATTCCAGCTCAGTTTCATCTGCTCAGACACTACCAAAAGAAGATCAAAAGGATTATTCAATTCGAACTAGAGTCAGATATAACTCTGCAGCTTTATGTATTAAATGTACCTATGGATAAAAGTATACATATGTGTATATTACTACAAGACAGTTATGTGATACTCTTAACCATTTTTAGAAAAATGAATATATGCTCCAAGCAATACATGAAACAAAAAATATTAAACTGTCAAACACGGCACGATCACCAGTGACCGTAACTAATTGTTCTTTAATTGTGTCTATAATGATGGTACTCAAAGAATTCATTATATATGGAATAGGTACACACCCAAAATTACCAATTTCAATGTCAACTCAGCCCAATACAAATACTAATCGATACAAATCTTATCAAAGAATATCAATCAATTAATGAAAATTGAAAATAGATATTTAATTTTTTTTTTAAAACTAAACTCTGGACAATGACTTCTACTAAAGACATGTCCTTAACTTTTCAGGAAAACTCTTGTCGTATAGTTAGGTACTTAGCTCTTGCTCAAACAAGATGTGATGTAATGCACATAATGATGTGAGGAAATAATGCAGATGCACCAAAACTGTACACAAAATTAAAAAAAGATAATAACACTAAGAATTATATATGGAATAGAAAAGATATATGTAATTAGATAAGATAGAAGTAAATATTCCTTCTAAAAATGAAATATTGAAACAGGTACCTTTTCCAGATACAGCCTTTTATGCATAAGAATTTGCACAATAAAAATACATACTTCAAGATATAACAAACACTACACTGAAAACGAAACCTATCAAAACCAGATATCATGTTTTCCATGCATTATTTTGGGAATCATTTCCTCCCCATCTTGCAGCTACCACCTACAACACACTTTTCAATGCTACTCAAACAACAACCGGCAGAAAATTCTATTAGCAAATACCAAACAGCTTTATGTGAATATATTTAAATGAAAGTAAATAGGTAATAGTTAACAATAATTTCTTATTAATATTATAGATATTATACTCTTTATTTCCTTTGCGTTAAGTTTGAACTTTTTACTAACTAACTAAACTTTGTTAACATTGCATCCCACAAGTAAGTTAAAAAGAACATGATATTTGTTTTATTTATAATATACTAGCTTTTACCTGCGACTTCGCTTGCATCACATAAGGATAAAAAGTAGAGTACATACTCTATAGGCACATGCCTATACACACAGCACCATCTATATCAATACTTTTGTTTTCCCTCAGGAATATCGATTTTTTCCGGGATAAGAGTACCCTATTATTTAATCCAGACTTCTAACTTTAAGTCTGCAAAAATTCAAAGCAATCGGTTTAGTAGTTACGGCGTGAAACCTGAGCAAACAAACAAACTCACTTTTCAATTTATAATATTAGTAAGGATAGTAAGGATTTCAATTTAAATAATACAACATTAGTAGGATGTAAGATTAGTAGGAATATTATTCAGTTCCTGCTATCTAGTTCAGCAATCAGTGCTTTAGATAACGTGGAACACTGTATTTATGTCAACAAGGATTTATAAAAAAAACTGTTATGTACTCACCTGTGAGCTTAAGTTTCCACCCAGTTTGTTTGTCTTGAGAACATCACTCTCAGAAGCCATTCTGTTAAACATTTGCTTTCTTTCCTTCACTGAGATTGTCTGTTCGCTATCTACTAACATGCTTTCACTTCTAGATGAAGATAATGTTGGTGATGCATCACTTTCTGGTCTAGAAGTATCTTGATTAGGTATAGATGATCTATGTCCCTGCATTCCTTGCACATTTGATCGTTTTTCAATACTCTTTTCTGATGACCGTCTCCGTGGGTGCACTTTAGGTGGTATATCTTCACTAGGAATAGATGTCAAGCTTTCTTGAGATTGACTGTCAGAGATCACTTCAGCATTATTAAGATTTTGCATGTTATCTTGAATAAGACTTGTTATTATATTAAAATCTTGGTTAAGTTGCAATGGCAAAGGTGGACGTTCTGGTGGTTCTTCAACCTCTGGTGTCTCTGATTCTGTGGGTGTTTCAGTCACTGATGTACTAGTAGTATCAGCTGGCTTTTCTGTGACTTCTCCGTTATCTTTACCATTAGTTGGCATATATTTTTTCTTCAATATAAGCCACTTCTCATTGTTCTGATTTTTAATAATTGCTAGGGAATTTACGTGTTTTTTAAACGTACTTCTGGCTTCATCTAGAAAACAAGATTAATTTCAAGGAAACATGATAGAAAATAGTTAAGGCTCCATGATCTTTGTAACTTACCTCTCATATCAGGATTCATAAGAAAAACTTTAAAATGTTTCACCAATTCATGGTTAGTTACTCTGCCATTGTGCAATAACATAAACTTGAGTATTTCCTCAAAACTTAGTTCAGACGGGGGCGACATTTTCTTTATAATGAATCACCTTTAAAACTCATGTACAATAACACCAAGAAATAACTAAAGACCGAACACAAAACTTAGAAGTTGTAACGTCAAACGATCAAGAGCGTTCCAGTTCCAGTTTATGAACTTGAAGTTTTATTAGTTTGACGCGCGCGTTCCATTTTACAGAATATGCGTTAGTTAACATAGATAGAGCTGGACGTGTTGCACAACAGTCGTTCCTCTAGCGACAATGTTACCGACGAATATTGCGTGTGAAATTATGAGTAGATAAACGATGTTACTTAAAAGAAGTAGGTAGGTACTCGCCGATTTTCAACATGTTTAGCGTCATGATGATACCATGGCATTATCATGTTGTATCAGTGTTGCTGGACACAGGATTATGAGGTTTTAACCTACACTTTGGGTACCTATACTTACAAGAATAAATTTTAGTAAGTACAAAAACAAATTAATGGAAACTGAGTTTCCTTATAAAATGATTTTATTGAATTAATGACAACTCAAAGTCAAAGCATATTAATTATGTAGAGGTACTTTTGAAACGTCAAAAATTAAATTGTCCGTCCATCTGTCTGTCAGTGAAGTTATAATAATTAATAAGGAAGTGATATAGGTAGATACACTATAAGGACACATGTATGTATTCACGGCAGAGTGCAAGGTAAAACACATCAGAGGGTGAGGCATGCACGGACTGGGAGTTACTGTGCACGGGTTCGAGTGAACGATTCTCTTTTGGAGTTTATGCGAAATATAACCGATATCCGAACGCCGTGTTTCACTCAACCCCTGCACCACCAACCCGAAGAAGCACAACTCAAATTAGGAATTTAAACCAACCATGAATCTCTAAAGTGGTGACCCCGACGTGATGGGACGTAGTCGCGGTAGGCCCCGAGGTATTGTCCTTTTCTCTTGGTTCACATTCGAGAGGTTAATGTTTACTTACTAATCCCAGCCATAAAGTTTGTTATACTAGAAATGACGCTATTCCAGGACAATGAAGCATTTTCAATACTTGTCGAGAAGTCCTTTTGTTGTTCCAGGTTTCCCTGGAGTGTCAGACTCTTACTGACTAAATACCACCCCGTTCCTACTCGTGCACCTCGAGCCGAAGCCCCGGTAGCTTTTTACGATCTCCGTGGCTTCGTATCGGCATCAGTCCCTTTGGGCCCCATCCGTGTGTCCGGTCTGATGGCTACACACGGGTCTTGTTCTGGTCGGGTGGCAAGCTGTTCGCCGTCCGCAGGCCCGTATTTACGGTGGCCTGAGATTGTGAGGAGGCAGCGCTTCGCTGCATCACGCGCCCTGCCTTCTCCTTAGCCAGCATGACTGCTTCGCAAAAGAAGGTGACGGCATACCAGTCCTCACTCTGCATCATGGCCCGGACTAGGGCCGGACGCGAGAAGTCGCCGTTGCCGATCACATCCCTCACGGCACGGTGGTGCTCGGCTCATGCAGGGCATGCCCCCACCGTGTGTTCCACCGTGTCCTCAGGGCGGCCCTCGCAGTGATGACACCCGGGCGTTTCGACACAGGAAGCTTCCCGAAGCTCCCATGTCCGGTAAGGATCTGCGTCAGGCGCTAGGTGAGTACGCCCTAGTGTCTCTCAAGCCACTCCTAAGCAAGGGGACTTACCGCTGCAATGACAGCGAGCCCAGTCCTCGACTGCAACAGTCGTTGCTACCATTCCGCCATGAGATCGTGCCGGAGCTCTTCCCGCCACGCCTTTATCTGGCACGCCTTTTGTTTCGCCCCGGCGACATGCCTCCACGCGCAAGTTATACACGCGCGCAAGCATCTTCGCCTCCAGATCCCACGGCGTTAAAGTTAATGGTGTAAATCGGTCGTTGAGAGGATCTGGCAGCTAGGACTCGAGGTGGTCATCTACTAGTCCGAACCCACGTGTTTTTATCTCAGGGTTGGCAGCAAATGTCCTTGCCGGATCACCGCCATGGCATCTGAAAGTGATAGCGGTGCGCGTCGCGTACGATGAGGTCCAGTAGGGATGATGCCCGATGTAGAGCCGCGGAGGACTTAACGGATTGCCGGCACTCCAGCTCAAAACGAAGGAGATGGAACGGGGTGATTTTTATAGGTAAGTTCAAACGATCTGGCCGACTCTTAAGTCTTAGAGATCGACGCGGTTCAGTTTTTTGGTGTATCTGTCTCTGCTCTAGGTAAAGTAGTGTGAGGTTGAGATTCTGGTTCCGCATGTTGCATGCAGTCTGTAGATTGTTGTTAGTTGTTGTAAATATGTTACAACACAAAGTCTATAGATATTTTTATGTATATCCATCGCTTCTTCACTAGTTTCTTCTTTCACATTTGCATGTTTCTGTAGCTACGGTAATTTTAATAAGGTTATTGAACTTCGTGTCTTGTGATTTTTGGAGAAGCCGTTCCTTAATTTGAAAATAGATTCATAATTTTTGCAACTTTTATATTGTTGACTCACTTTACCACGTTGGTGCAATGTGGTAGCCCAAGATCCTTACTAATTCGGTGTAAGATATTGATATACTATACTCAGGTATCCCTGGATCATTTAAATTAGAAAGTTTGTGAGAATTTATGTGTATGTTTGTTACTCTTTTGAGTCAAAATGTCTGAAGGGATCAGGAGGAAAGGAAAGGGATTTGGAATACAGGTAGATACCTCTATTCCAAATCCAAATTTATCTCGATCGAAAGTGTAGCCACTGTAATCTTACAGTCTGAAATAACACATTAGCTTTTTGTCCCATGAGAATGCGGGCGAAGCCGCTAGCAGAAGCTAGTTGACAATATTTTGGGCCAATGCAATCAATAAATATTTGTTATTTAATTTAGTAGTCTTTACAAGTAACTTTGCTTCGTTCATTTCGTCATATGGCTGTAGGATGATTGACCCTTTATCACTGACTGACTTGGTACCTTGATTTAAGAACGCCCTATGCAAATTCGCATGCGGTTCCCGCATTGGGATCGGATCGCATCGTTTCCATCATCAGAAAATGTTGTTTTTTATATATATTCGATGGGACTAATGTTTAACCACTATCTCGCCTGGTGGTAAGCGATGATGTGGCCTACGATGGAGCAAGTCGACCCATAAGGGCCTTGAAGACACCCAGGCCTTAAACATACCCTTCAGGAAATACAGAATTCCACTCTGGCAAAGAATTCCACTCCTTAGCAGTACGCACAAGGAAGTTTGATGCGAAGCGCTTCGTGCGTGTGGGTGGGACATCTACCATAAATCGGTGACGCTTTGCCAATGGTCTTGTGGTACGACGATGGAAAAGACTAGGAGGAATTAAGGTGTGTAATTCCCCCGCACACTTATCGAACTATAACCGGTAGAAGATTGAAAGACTTGCAACCATACGCCTTCGAGGCTTTGAAGCTGGGCCTCCACGTCTCCATTCACAATTTTTTTAAAGATTTTCAGTTGTAGCACGGAGTCTAGAATTGTACCCGATATATGGCAATAGGCAATAACATGGGACTCATAATATAAATAGTGAAAAGTGGGTGTTACATTGTATAGTGGCATTAAGTGCCGTAGATAATGTGCACCTCTGCCCACCCCTTCGGGGATAAAAGGCGTGATGTTCGGTAAATATTTTTACTAAAGTATATCATGTCTCTATCATCACTCTCCCAGTGTCTTCGAGGCCGGCTTGTCCCCGGAAATAAAGAAGATAAAGACAAAATCTCCCCTAATAAAAAATACAGGAAAGATAAATCTTGCTATCAAAATATTGCCAATTTGAATGTGCGAACGTTAATGTCAGATTCTAGAAGAATAGAACTAGAATACGCCATATCTAAACTAAATTGGGACATAATAGGGTTGTGCGAAACAAGACGAAAAAGCGAAGAAATAAACGAGTTTCCCGACTACATCTTATATCATACAAAAAGTATAAAAGGTTTACACGGAGTCGGATTCTTAGTGAAAAAGCATCTCAAAAAGAACATAATATACTTCAAAAGCTATTCAGATAGAGTGGCAACGTTGGATATCAGTCTCCCTAAGGGAAAGGTCCTATCAATAGTTCAGGTCTATGCACCAACTGAAAAATGCAACGATGAAGAGCTTAATACATTCTACAAAACATTGGATTTAGCCGTAGAAGTAGCACACAATAGGAATTTGATCATTATGGGTGATTTCAATGCCCAGATAGGCAAAGCTTTACAAGGTGAAGACTCAGCATTTGGAAAATATTCAAATGGTAAAAGATCTAAGCATGGTCAGAGACTTGTGGAGTTCGCATTAGAAAACAACTTAAAATTTACCAACAGCATGTTTAAGATAAGAAAAAACAGGAAATGGACGTGGTTATCCCCAAATGGACAGCATCGCACGGAGATCGACTACATACTCACAAGTTCTAATGTGAAGGTATATAATTTCGACATTATACAAAAACTAAACTTCAATACCGATCACAGAATGATTAGGTGTAGAATTCATATAGACACAAAAAGAGGAAGGAAGTACATCAAACCTAGGCAGAATTATACTAAAGACCTACCAACTCTGACACGAGAAACAGTCATATGATATACAAACACAATACAACAATTTCGAGAGAGAAATGAATAACTTAATCTCACAGTTGCCTAAGGCTAAGAAAAATCTGAATGATGAAATGAAAACCCACTTACAAGGACTATTAGAGAAACGAAAACAACTATATAGAAACTGGAGAACAAAAGAAGTAAGGATAGGATTACACAAATAAGTAAGGAAATAAACAGAATTACTACAGACAATACAAAAGCTCATAGAAAAGAGACTTTGGAAAGGCACATACGTAAGACAGGGGCTGTTCAGAAGGCATACAAAGAGCTGCAAGCTTCCTCAAAATGGACGATCGACTTCAATAACAAAACAGGAAAAGTAATCTCAAAACGTTCAGATATATTAAAGGAAGCTACAAAATTCTATCGCGACCTATATTGTGCGCAGACGCCCTCAAACTCAAATAGCATTGTTACAAAAGACACCTATAACCCTGAAAAAGTACCCCCAATACTGTTATCCGAAATAGATCTAGCAATAAGAACGCAAAAAAAATGACAAAGCTTCTGGTGAGGATCAAATTACAAACGAACTACTAAAATCTATATCTGAACCCCTACAGCGACCTCTACAAACTATGTTCAACAATGTATTGGAGAAAAGGAGAGGAGGTTTGGAGTCCCCAAACCAGTGATCCAAGTCTATAACAACACTACTACACAAGAAAGGTGATAGAGCTGACCTGAATAACTACAGGCCAATTAGGATTATGAGTAATGTCTATAAAGTATTCTCCAAAATTATCCTAAACAGGCTCTCTAAGATCTTAGATGAGAACCAAACATGCGAACAAGCGGGTTTTCGAAAAAACTTCTCAACCATAGATCATATCTTCGTCGTGACACAACTTATCGAAAAATGCAAGGAATTCAATAAAACTATATATATGCTTTATAGACTTTACAAAGGCATTCGACTCTTTAGAACACGAAGCAATATGGCAAGCACTAATACAACAGGGTGTCGACGGGGAATATGTAGAACTTCTATTAGACATATACTCTAAATGCACGGCCAAGATTCGAATGGAAAGAGATGGCTCTGAGTTTCCCGTTGGAAAAGGTGTACGACAAGGCGACCCTTTATCACCTAAATTGTTCTCTGCGGTACTGGAAATGGTTTTTAGAAAAATTGATTGGGAAAAGCAAGGTATAAAAATAAATGGGGGATATTTGAGTCACCTGCGTTTCGCTGACAACATAGCAATATTCGCAGAAGAGAGTACGCAGTTAGAAAAAATGGTAAACGAATTGGCAAGAGAAAGTCAAAAGGTTGGCCTATCCCTTAACGCTACAAAAACAAAAATAATTACTAACGGTACAATTCAGACCGTTAAGGTGCAGGGACAAAACATAGAGTACGTGTCACAATATATCTATTTAGGTCAATCAATTTCATTTGATGACCAGACTGAAAATGAAATAAACAGAAGGATAGCTACAGCGTGGAAAAAGTACTGGAGTTTAAAGGAAATTATGAAAAACAGAGATATGGACATAAAAATAAAAAGTAAACTATACGAGATGGTGATCTTGCCCTGCTTGACATACGGTTGCCAGCCCTGGTCCCTACGTAAGACAGATGAAAACAAACTATTTGTACACCAAAGAAAGATGGAGAGAAGCATGCTCGGCATAAGACTATCAGAAAAAGTTAGAAACGTAACCATTCGAAAAGAAACACAGGTAACCGACATACACAACAAAATAAGGAATCTTAAATGGAAATGGGCAGGACATGTGTGTAGAATGCCATACAACAGATGGGCCAGAAAGATTATGGATTGGATGCCATGGGATGGTAAAAGAAATAAAGGTAGACCAAAAAGAAGATGGGAAGATATTTTTTTGTTGAGATTTGTGGGACCACATGGAGAAGAGAAGCAAGAGACAGAGTTAAATGGAAAAAACTGGGGGAGGCCTACGCCACTGAGGCGACTTCCACAAACTAAGTAGTAACTTTACTGGGAATTTATGTAATTTAATTTATTTTATTTTTGTTTTATTTAGCTAATTTGAGTTAATTTGAAATGATATATAAATCGAAATGTAACGTAAAAATTAAAATGAAACAATAGTATTGATTTGAATGCATGACATTTTGTGGTAGAATAAAGGCTATTTTTATTTATTTATTTTATTATATCATGTCTATCCCGTGTAATCTCATGGCTGATACCGGATACGTATAGATGGAGATAATAAATGTAATGGGCAGATGGAGACACTGACTAGAGAGACGCCAAGGCATTCTCACCGTCAGCCTAATACGGCTGTTTTAATACATTTGTAGGGGTTAGGTATCGCATAGAACACACACTGTAATAGCTTAAGGTATAAACATGTAATCGCATTGTGCGCATGACACACTCGTCGCCTGTACACCATAGAGACAATACATATTCAGTTCAGTTCCGTAACATCTGTTTTATTTATCTCCTATAAAGTGAGTGACTCAAGTAGAACCTAAAGTGGTGACCCCGACGTGATCGGCAAAGGCTGGGTCAATGGTGCTGATAATTGCGGTATGAATGAGGAAATCTCTCGCACATTTGTCAGCTTTTAATCGCGTGATCGCCTCCCGCCAAATTGGCTGTGAGCTGCGTGCGGAAGTATTAGAAGTGAACCATTTGATCGGGTCAGGTGAACCTCTTTTCTTTAGCAATTCCAACATATCGCCGGCAATAGGGGTTATGTCTCTGTCGGGATCCGCGATCCTCGTACTGGTTCTAGGAAGTGCAAGGGGACTAGGGATCCCGAACGCGCGGTTATAAAAACTCTGTATTTCACTCCCTGGTTGAGAACAAATAATGGTTCTGTCCAGATATTCACAGATGAGGCGTATCTGCTCGCGTTGATGCTGAGAGGGTGTTTTTAATCTGATGGCGGCCTCCATGCCAAGAATCCATTCTAACTTGCTGTGCCAAATTGAATTCGGTGAGCGCTCAAGTGAGAATTTCCTATTTCCGAAGTGACGCAGAACGTCAGAAAAAATGGAGGCGCGGGGATCCGATATTGAATTCCCAACCTCTTGACGGACGAAGCTGCGTTTGTAATTTCTAAAGTTATTCACTATCTTCTGCGCCATTAAAGCGATAGAAGCGTTGCCGTCCAAATATTCTAAAGTCATCCTTAACGCGTGTCCCGAGGACGAGACTAATCTTTCTGAAATCGAAAAGCTGAGGGGAAACTTGGGGAACTGTAAGCCTCTCTCTTCGCAAGCCGATATTCTGGATATATCATACGCCGGCGTGCGAGATCGATTAACGACGGCATATTCAGTTCTACGAATCTTATAAGTTTCAGACGTGTACACCTCCTCGTTCATTAATGTGAGGAGGTGATCAGAGACTAAAAAATAAAGTCCATCAAGTTTAGCTTTGATGAAGCTTCGCGAGTCCAAGATTGTCCCTAAATTTCTAGAGAGAATGGATCCCTCGGGGAAGCAGTATTTTTTGTAAACATTTTTTTCCTAAAGGGAGGAATGTTGTAGGGGTTAGGTATCGCATAGAACACACACTGTAATAGCTTAAGGTATAAACATGTAATCGCATTGTGCGCATGACACACTCGTCGCCTGTACACCATAGAGACAATACATATTCAGTTCAGTTCCGTAACATCTGTTTTATTTATCTCCTATAAAGTGAGTGACTCAAGTAGAACCTAAACATTACATACACATATCGGATTCATCTGGAGGAAATACCTGGATATACCGTATGACCGGAGGGCCCAGGTGGTTCTCCCAGCAGTAGAGCATACTGTAACGGTGCCTCAGCCGCCTCAGGAGGTAAGCCTGGCATTGGGGATCTTACAAAGGCCATTTCTGACCACCATAAGCACGGGAAATTCCTCAGAAAAGAAACATACCTAAGTAAAGTTATTTTCCACTTTATTCATATTTTACATTTTTTAGCGTATTGAAACGTCGTATTCAGTAACCCACTAGACATAATCACGGCGACGAAATTGTCATGCAGCAGCGACCTGAATTAATTCAGTTACCGCACAACTTGACCCGAAATCATTTAATAAGCCATGGTATGCAGTGGGTATGCATACCATGGCTTATTATAACGGCAGTTAAGAGGTTAATCCAAAATCTGTGGATAGATATTAATCGAATTTTGATATTAGTTGTATGGTGTTCCAGTCAAAAATAGATTTTAATACACAGATCTTGTATTGAAATAGGTTTTTGGGAATTGGCAGTTAGTCGCTGCACAACGTTAGATAAGTAGGTAACTAAATTCCCTGTTCACGTTACCCATCTCGATTCTTGTTAGCATTAACCAAAACAGCCTTTTCAGAAGACTCAATCACCTGCATAAGTCTCGTTCCTCGAAAGCGCACTTCTAATTTATTCTGCACTTCCCACGCAGTCACTACTAACGTAAGGACACTTATATGCTCTTGTTTATACTATCCTTGTTTTTTTTTCGATTCTGCGAGCTCCTCTACTCGTACCTACAAATTCCTGTGCATGAGGAAAACTTCCAGTTATGGTAATGCTGGAAATTACTAATTTTGATGCACGCTATAGAAACATAGTCAACAGTTTATAGCAGAATTGAAAGACCCATTAATCCCGTGAGGATTTTAAGTATTTTTACCCCCTTTTTTTTTTTTTTTTTTTTTTTAAGGGGGAAAATCATCGAATGACTGCCCCCGCCTGGGTGAGGCGGGAGGGAGTGTCAGACTCTTACTGACTAAAAACCACCCCGTTCCTTCTCCTGCACGTCGAGCCGGAGCCCCGGTTACCCGTTAGGTTCTCCGCGACTCCGAATCGGCATCGGCCCTATTGGGCCCCATCTGTGGTGGTCTGATGGCTCTTTGAGGCGCGCGCGGAACGCGACGCGCCGTACGCTCGGGTCTGTTTCTGGTCGGACGGGGAGCCACCCATGCTCGCCGTCCGCAGGCCCGCGCTTACGGTGGCCGGAGATCGTCCCGCGATCCCCGACGCCCGGTGTGTCCTTCGCGATGGCTGGGTTGCGAGGAGGCAGCGCTTCGCTGCCTCACGCGTCCCGCCTCCTCCTTAGCTAGCATGACCGCTTCGCAAAAGGAGGAGACGGCATCCCAGTCCCCCTCGCTCCGCATCATGGCCCGCACTAGGCCCGGACGCGAGAGGTCGCCATCGCCGATCACTTCCCCGAGGACACGGCGGTGCTCAGCCCACGAAGGGCATTCTCCCACCGTGTGTTCCACCGTGTCCTCAGGGCGGTCCTCGCAGTGATGACACCCGGACGTTTCCTCCCGCCCCATCAGACACAGGTACCTCCCGAAACTTCCATGTCCGGTGAGGACCTGCGTCAGGCGGTAGGTGAGGACGCCGTAGCGTCTCTCAAGCCACTCCTCAAAGAGGGGACTTACCGCTGCGATGGCAGCGAGCCCAGCCCTCGGTTGCGACAGTCGTTGCTGCCATTCCGCCATGAGATCGCGCCGGAGCTCATCCCGCCACGCACCTATCTGGCGCGGCAGCGGGGTTTCGCCCCGGCGACGATTTTTACCCCCTTAGGTGTTAGGTAATAAGGTTTTAAATATGTACTAAACTTTTATATCATACTTTTAATAAAACAAGTGCTTAACTACGTATAAACCGTATTTGATTTAGTTATAGTATGATGTACACTTT